AGGCGAAGTAGGGATTTTTTTTTTCCAGTTTGCATTATTATTATATTATTTTGGTCTGACAACTGTCTGAAGGTCAGTGTTAAAGAGAAGTTGGGAGGAAATCATCCCTCCTCCATTTTAAAACAGCTACTTTTGTTTTTCTCAAATACCCTGTTTTTCTCAAGCAGTCCATAATACACAGTGCATATGCTTTTAAATTTTACTTACTTATTATTGTATGGGTGTCCTAGTTTGTTTCTCAGTTGCTGTGACAAAACACTCTGACCACTACCAACTTGGGGAGGAAAGGGTTTATTAGTCTTACATATCCCTGGTCATAGTTCATCAGGGAGCCCAGGTTAGGAACTCAGGGCAGGAACCTGGATGCAAGAGCTGGAGCACAGGCCATGGAGGAATGCTGCTTACTGGCTTGCTCCCCTGGCCCCTGCTCAGCCTGCTTTCTTATGCAACACAGGCCCACCTGCCCAGGGGTGGCACCACCCACAGTGGGCTGGGCCCTCCCACATCACTCAACAATCAAGAAGATGCCCCTCAGACAGGGCCGCAGGCCAGTCCAATGGAGGCAATTCCCCAACTGAGGCTTCCTCAACTCAGGTGTGTCAAGTTGACACTAAAGCTATCCAGCACAATGGGTATATGTGCCATGGTGCATGTGTGGGAGCCAGAGGACAATTTTGAGGAGTTGGTTCTCTCCTTTCACCTTTATGTGGGTTCCAGAGATCAACTCAGGTCACCAGGCTTCCGTGGCAAGCACCTCTACTCACGGAGCCATCTTGTCAGCCCCACAATGCATGTGCTTTTGTGTAAATGGAATTGTATCTCACTTATTTCCTTACACTTATTTCCTCATTTCTGTCTGTCGTTACCCTCTCTACTGGCAGAGCAGTGTTCTTAGGTATCATAATGCACTGTCCTTTCTCCCTGTGTTTGGGAAATTAGCTGACTGATCTCTCCCATCTTTCTCCAGTGCAGTATACTATAGAGAACTCCATTGTACATTTAGCCTTCTACCTCTCTTATGTTGTTGTCTTCCTAGGAGTTGCTCTAGAAATGAGAGCCTGCAGTCTCTAATCCGGGGGTAGGTGCCGGGAATTGGAACCCAGGACCTTGGGATGCTGTTTGTGCACTTCTCGGAGCTTTAGTCCCAGCCGTGTTTTTACTTTTCACCTGCCATGCAGATGAAGATGTGCTGATAAAACAGGAGTATAGTTTGATGAGTTATTGGAAAGCAAAAGCTGTACATGTCTCCTGAAACAAAACCCTGCCTGCTGGCTGGGAACCCTCTTCCCTCCAGATACTAGTCTCCTGAGCAGCAGCTACTCTGACTTGATTGTAGTTACTTCCTTATTCATTTCAAGTTTTCTACACATTGCAGTTTGATGTTGCCTTTAAAAAGAAAAGGTCTTGGGGCTGGAGAGATGGCTCAGCGGTTAAGAACACTGGTTGTTCTTGCAGAAGACCTGTGTTCGAATCCCAGCACCCACATGGCAGCTAACAGCTGTCCGTTACTCCAGTTCCAGGGGATCCGATAGTCTCTTCTGACCTCCGTGGGTATTGCACAACAAGGGTGTACTTACCTACATGTAGGCAATACACGCATACACATAAAATATTTTTAAAAAGTCTTAAATCTCTTTGACCCTATGGTTGCCTCTCCCTGCCCCATCTCTTCTCCTTATATTGTTTTTCTTTAAGAAACTGGATTCTTTGCACCAAGAAGTTTCTAGAGTTTTGCCCAGGCCGGATCTTGTGGAGAGAGATGTATGGAGCTAGCTATGACAGAGGTGGTGGGTGCTCTACATTGGGGGACACCGTGGCTGGTTGTTTCCTGATGGGATGGTAGTTGTCACTGTGTCCAGAACTTAGAGCCTCACACTCATCAGGGCTGAGAGCTGTTGATATGGCAACTTTCTCATTCCTTCTTCATTTACTTGTTAGACTCCTTCAATAAAGAAAACACTCATCTAGTATGTTTAATAGCTTTATTGAGATTCACATGTCACAGAAGTCACTCATCTAAAGGGTATAATCTACTGGATTTTAGTAAATGCAGAGTTCTATATCTGTCAGCACAATCTATTTTAGGGCATTTGATTGGCAAAACCCCAGCCTAGCTATCACCTCCCAAATCCCCCAGTCCTAAGCAACCACTAACCCAATTTCTGTTTCTTCAGATCCATCTACTCTGGAAATTACATGTAGCAGGGCCATAACAGTATGTGGTGTTTTGTGACCAGTTTCTTTGACTGAAGCAAAGCATTTTTTTTAAGTCTGTCCCTGTGGTAGCTTACATCAATACTTCATTTCTGTTTATGGCAAAATAATAGTCCATCAAATGGATATACTAGATTTTAAACATAATTCTATTTATTTTTGGGACAGGCTCTCACTATGTAGCCCCAGCTAGCCTAGAACTCACTGTGTAGACCAGGCTGGCCTTGAACTCACATGGATTTACCTGCCTCTGCCTCCTGAGTGCTGAGATTAAGGGTGTATGCCACCACATCTAACAGTATACTAGATTTTGATCATTAACTGATGGCCATTTCAGTTGTTTCTGCTTTTTGGATATTATGAATAACACTGAATGTCCATGTTCAAGTTTTCTCATGAACATATGCTTTTATTTTTCTCGGGCACATACCTAGGGATGGAATCACTGGGCCGTATGGTAACTGTGCAGAACTGTTGAGAAACTGCTAGAATGTTTTCCAGTGTGGTTGCCATTTCTTATTCCATCAGCACTTATGAGGATTCCAGCTTCTCTAGTATTGGTCCTATCTTTTTATTCCAGCCGGCCTCGTGGGTGTGAAGTAGGATCTGGTTGTGGTCATGATTTACATTCCCCTAGTGACTGCTGATACTGAACATCTTTTCTGGTGCTTATTAAGCCCTTGCTTATCTTTAGGGAGCTGTCTGTACGTACCCTTTAGCTCTTTTCTTTAATTGGATACTTGTCTTTTGGTTATTGAATCGTAATAGTTCTTTTATGCACTCTAGATAAAAGTCCCTATCAGACACAGTTGGCCCTTGACATCCATTGACTGGATCAAAACTATTGAAAGAAATTTACACCAGTACTGAACACATAGAGATGTCTCTCTTATCATTCCCTGAACAACACAGAACAACTATTGGCATAGCATCTATATTGTATTAGATGTTATGAGTCACCCAGAGAGGATCTGGAGCATGAGAGGATGTGCATATGTTATATGCCATTTATGCAAGGGGCTCGAACATCCATGCATGTTGGTATTCTGAGTGGTATGGAACGAAACATTCCACCACTGTTCTAGTTCACTTTCTGTTGCTGTGATAAACATCATGACCAAAAAATCAACTTGGGAAGCAGAGGGTTTATTTCAGCTTACAACTCCCAGATAGTCCATCTTTGAGGGAAGTCATGGAAGGAAACTGAGGCAGAAACCTGGAGGCAGGAGCGAAAGCAGAGACCATGGAGGAAGATGGAGGAAGGCTACTTACTGGCTCGCTCCTCTGACTTGCTCAGTTATCTGGTTTTTTGTGTGGTTTTTTTTTGAGACAGAATCTCACTTTGTAGCCTTGGTTGGCCTGGAACTTGCTAGTAGGCCAGGCTGGCCTGAATTTCACAGAGATCTAACTACCTCGGCCTCCTACTACTGAGATTAAAGGCATGCACAGTCACCATTAAAGGTTTAGCATCTGCCCAGTGATGGTCCACAGAGCATTGGGCCCTCTTACATCAGTCAGCAATTAAGAAAATGTCTCACAGACATGGTTGCAGGCCAGTTCGATGGTAAGGTTCCCTCTTACCAAGTGACTCTAGTTTTGTCAACTTGACAAAACAACGAAAACAAAACAAAACTAACCAGCACACCCACAGACCAGAGTGATGGCTATATATGATTTGCAAAAGCCTTCTCATGGTTTGGATTGCCTTTGCATGGTCTTGGTATCTCAGTATCCTTTCAAGTACAGAAGTTTGACACTTGGATATACAGTTGTTTCTTGTTGCTGATACTGTTGCTACCATATTGTCACTAACTACCACCTAACCCAGGCTCATGAAGCATCAGCCTGTGTATTATTGGGGGAGTTTTATAGTTTTCACTCTTACCCTGAGATCTGGTCCATTTTGACTCAGTTTGTTGCAAGCTTTGATGTACTCTTCCCTGCAGGGAAAGGCAGGAGAGATGCCAGATGCTTTAGTTTGTTTGCCAGTTTTTGTAATAAGGAGTTGGTTCTCCAGTCATTGTTTGAGGTTGTTGTTTGTTTTCTTTGCCATTGTTTTCTTTGACACCTAGTTTAAACATCATTTGCAGTGATAAAGATTTTATCAGAGACGCACACCCGCATTCTGCTTGAGTGAGTAGTAATAAGCTTTTCTTTTGGCAAAGGTTTGAGTCTTCTTGTAGTAACTTGTCTAAGATCTCCACAGTTTTCCTAAAAGAGGTGGGGACAACATCTGTCACCAGCCCATTTGCAAGGCAGGAAAAGAGGCATAAAAAGTGGCTTGCCAAGGTCACACCTGTTAGTAAGCAGCAGGTGCAGTCACTACATCTGGCCCTTTTCTTGTGTTCCTGCCCCATCTGTGGACTACACAGAGCCTGGAGTGGACTTGGAATTTGGGCTTGAGTGGTATGGCTGTGCTTGGTGGTAGATCTTTTGTTTTTCCTGGGCTTTGGTAAATCACTCTGTGAAACTGGAAGACTGGACAAGCCAATTTCAAGAACAAGCACATTTCCTGAGGTGGACTGCCTTGACAGCTGGCCCAGCCATGGGCTCTGCTGGAATAGGGCCCCGGCACAAGGGTTAACCTTGTTCAGAGGGGTTTTCAACCTTATATGATTACACGATAGTTAAATATCTTTAATTATGAATTTTTATTTCACTTAAATGAGACTAAGATTTACAAATTTACAAATTGCATGTATGCAATTTACAGAGAGAAGGAAAATCATTTTATTTCTTACCCATCCATCATACCCATAATTTTCATGTCTCTGTTTGTCTTTCAGAAACATGCCAAAGGCCAGGATTTGTTCGACCAGATCGTGTACCACTTGGACCTGGTAGAAACAGATTACTTTGGCCTCCAGTTCCTTGACTCCGCCCAGGTCACGGTATGTATCGCTTTGATTCATTTCAGGATAGATCGGCTCTTCATGCTAATTGCAGAGCCACAGTTGCTACAAATTGGTAGAGAAAAAGAGGAGTAAAAGGGTGATATTGTTCCAGTAATGAGCTTGGCAGGTGGTGCCTGAGTGAAATGCATGCATGATGCCTGTCAATCCCCCCTGCCTTGAGATGGCCAGTGATCAGGAGGCACTGTGCCTAGAGTACCTTCTGGAAATACTGCTGAGCATAGGGATGCATTGTGGGCACATTGCTAAAGTAGGGAGGAGAAAGAAGAAATGCCATTATAGAAATTCTTTCAGTAGTGCCCCTTTTATATTTAAGTGGCAAGAGAAGATGTACCACCTTCTTGCAGAGCCTGGGTGGACTTGAAGCAGGTGCTGTGAACACAGCTGAGTCTGAGGGAGGCTCAGGGAATGTGGGACAGTGAGCTTTGGCCTTGTAGGAGAACCAGCCTGCAGGCTCTGGGAGGTGGTAGGAAGCCAGAACAGAGTCCTCTGTCTTTTCTGGTACTAGAAAGAGTGACCTCCCCAAAGCTCAGAACTTCTCTTTCTAGAAGCAAGAATGACTTTATATTACTCCTTCCCAGCAAGATACACTTTTGGTTTTCAGAGATAATATATTCAGCACTCTAAGTGTGTTTATTGGGTGATTGTTAGGTACTGGGCTCTAAGCATTACAGAGAAAATGGTGAGCACAGTCGTAACTAACACATGATAGGAGGTAGAGAGTTCAGAGTCATTAAGTAGGGGCCAGGAGATGGCTGAACAGCACAAGCATGAGGACCAAGTTCCTGAGTTTGGATCCCCAGCACCCATGTCCAACCTGGCATGGCAGCATATCAGCATATGTATATAATCCCAGCACTGTAACCTCCTGGGGCAAATGGAGTTTGATGGATCCCTGGAGCTTGCTAACCAGTCAGCCAAGCTGAATTGGTAGGTTCCAGGTTCACAGAGAGACCCTGTCTCAGAAAACAGGGTAAAGAATGATTGAGGAAAACACCTAACATCAATCTCTAGCCTCCACATGCATACATACACATGCAACTATGTGTAGATGTGCACACATACATAAATACATACATATACATCACATATAGATACACACAAAGACTAAGCAGAGGAAGACTGGGAGAGAAGGAGGAAGGGGGTGTTCATTCAGACCGTGTCTTTCTTGAAAGCTGGGGTTTCTGGGACAATGTTTGAGCTAGAGATCTGGAACTCTTCACACATGGAAGACATTTACCAGATACTTCCTGGGGACAGCTGTGAGATGAAGCTGCTCAAAACTGGTACCTGGTAATTGGGTCTGCTTGAGAATGTCAGGGAGAAGCTGGGCCCAAGTGGAGTCCCGCTGTCAGTGCTCCTGGCTACGTGCCTCCTGAAGGGGGACTTCCTGTGGGTGTCTGCACACAGAGCCCCTTGATACCAGCCACTTGGTCGGTACTTCAGGGTTCCTGTCTGCTCCTAGAACTTCCTTATCCCCCCATAACTGTTGCCTCCTTGACTGTCTGGTTCTGATTCCTTCTCCTCATCAGCTGGAGAGTCCCTTCATCCTCTGAGTCTCAGGGTGGCACATCCCAGCATCTCCCTTTCTGCCTCCCCGTCTAGTTCTACTTCCTGGTGCTCTGTCCTCTGACTTCACGGCTGACCTTCATATCCTTCAAGACCTCTGTGCCTTAGTTTTCACCCAGGCAGCCTCAGGATTCACATTGCTGCCCCTCTCCATATTCCTGACACAGTTACCTTTCATTTAAGCTTCATTTCAGCAAACCTCACAGATTCCCTTTGGGTCCTATCATCATTCCCAGATCTCTAGTCCATGATAACTTCCCTCTGTTCCATCCTTCCGACCCCCTTGCCTTTGGCCTAGGGCTTTATGGTACCCTCTTTCTTATTCCCATCACCCAGCCTCTAGTTTCTCTTGCTTTCCTCCCTGCCCAGATGAGCCAGCCTTTGGTCCTCATTCAGCTTTTAGCTTTGCTTCCCCCATGACTGTTTTCTGGCCTCCTCTTGGCAACCAGGCCCATCTGTTTTTTCTGTGACTTCTCCCCAGCTGCCAAGCATTGCTGGAGTGAAGTGTGTGCCTGTGTCTTTTGTCTCCAGCAGAGATCACAGGTTCAGCCAATTCCAAGCCTCCTAACTATGCCTCAAGAGTGTGAGCTTCTGACTGATGCCTGGGTGCCCCTTGCTTCCCTTTCTGGTCTATACCATAGACCCCTAATCTAGCTACCGTGACATCTGTCCAGCTGCTTTCCTGCTGTGAAGACCAAAGACCTCTGCCTTAAACTCCTGTCTCGTTTGCCCGGCTATTCCAAGCTTCCCTTTCTCTCTGTCTACCCTTACTCCATCCTTGGAAAGAGGAGTCAGCCTGTTTCTGTGTCTTCTCTCAGCAACTGGACCAAAGTCCCTTGCCAGATACCTCCTGAGAGACACATTCAGAGCTCTCTGGCCATCCCAGCTACTGATGCTCTTGAGCCCTCTACTTCCCCTTAACTTTTCTCTATCTTGTCTTTTGTATATGGTGTTTTGCATGGGATTATTGATAGCCCAGACTCAAATCTGGGCCCTGTTCCTGGTTCTGAGCCATCTGGTAGCCTTTAAGTAGGCTACCTTTTCTCCTTGGCCTCAATTTCCTTATCTGTAAAGAGAAGTTTTGGATCCTGTATCTAAGAGCTCTTGGGCCTTATGGTCAGTGATTAGTCAGTCTGCAGCTGACCCAGGTGGCCTGCCCCACAGTCTCCTCTAGTTGAAAGAAGGAACTAGCCAGCATTTCTGCTTCTAGAGCCAAGGCCCTGCTGTCTTGCTGGCAGGTCTTCATCCCCAGGTGACCCCTCGGCAGCCATTTGGCTTCCTGGAAAGCCCTGGATGTGACTCTGTTACGAAAGACTTTGGGTGAAGCTCTGCTGACTTACTTGGCTGGCAGGCATTCCCTTCACTATGCGCTGTCACCGTACAGCAGGAGAGATGTTCACAGCAGGACCCAGGTGTCCTGCCCAGGCCAGACATGTGCAGGTGTCTAGGCTCAGCAGGTCCTGAAGACTCTCCAGCATCGTGCTCTAAAGATGCGAGGGGCTTTTCTTCCCTGTAGAACAGGTGCGGGATTTCCATCTTATTTTCTAGTCTGGGGTGCATGAGGTGTACAGCAATAGCAGCTGCCCCAGGCCCCTTCCTTTCATCCCCATCTTTGTTTTTTTCAGCTGGCACCATCATGGGCTGGTCCTGATGGTGCCTGCCTTCATCTGTGCTTTGCACGGGCTCTCTGTCCCCCCAGAACACCTTCTCACTCTGATCAAACTTCTGAATGTCCCTCCAGACCATCTCCACTTGTAGTTTGTGTCCTGAGCTCTCGAGGTGTTTTTTTCTCTGTGTAAACCTTGGAGCTTATTTGCCTTCCCTGGCAGTTTTATCACATTACCTCGGACTTTGTATTTGAATGTATAAACAAACAGAACTTTCTGACTAGATCCTAAGACTTAAGATTTCTCTTAACTTGGGGACATGGCATATATCCACAATGGTAGGAGAGGTATTGTTGTCTTTCCATATGGTGGAAAGCTTTTAGACCTCAGTGAGTCACTTAGTGAGCAGGCCAACTTGGATTCCCACTGAAGCTTTTCGATTTCAGGTATACGTTCTTGTCTAGTGCTCTGTGCTCTTGAGTCTCAGGATTCCTGTCTGTAAAGTGGGGGTAATTATATCTATTTTACAGGGAGAGGTGCTCAGGGAGTTAATGGAGGAAAAAAGGTTCTGCCATCTGGAGTATGGTTTTTTCTTGCAGTAACAAAATAGTCAAGACAGGTACTTTGTAAAGGAAAGAGATGCATTTAGCTTACAGTTTTAGAAGCTGAAAGTTGAATATTGGATGGCTGTATCTGGATGACTTGTGACAAAGGTAGAGAAACAGAAATGGAAGCGCTGTATACAGAAGGGTCCTATGTACTAGGTGGTTTTGCTATGTTTATAACTACCCAGAACTGATCCAGTTCCATGAGACAGATGCTGTGAAGGTGGAAAACCCTATAACTCAATTTCTTTCCAGTAGGCTCCACCTCTAAAGGTTTTACTATCTCAACGCCACAACGCCGGGGACCTAGCTTCTTGCACATGAGCCTTGGGGACAGACCATATCCAGACCCTGGCAATCTCCTCTCTCCAGCTGGGTAGGGTGAGGGGTAAACAAAACCATCAAGGTGAGCGCACTGTGAAGTTGTAGCTGGCTGGTGGCTGCAAGCCTGTGATGCCCGTGGGAGAAAGCCTAGCGAATTTAAACAGAGCCCCTTCAAGAGTCTGCTAAGGTGGCTGCTGGGTGTCACTGACTTTCACAGAGTCTGAGAAGTGAAGAGATATCATGGGAGGTATTTCCTAGAAGTGGATAGAAATCTGGAAAAGAATGATTTCATTGGCAAGAGCTTATTGCCCCATAATCAGGGGCCCCTTAAGCATTCACATCCCCACCCAGCCCTTGACAGCTTCCTAGGGCTGGTGGTAGCAGGACTTTTGGCATGGCTCTGTGTATACCCAGCTTATATCTCCAACTCCCTGAAAAGAGCCAAGCCTGGTTTCCATGGTGCCCTGCCCAGCCCTGAAGCAACTGTCAAAGCCTGTTGGCATCACCTATTTTTAGCAGTTGGAAGCTGGGACCTCCCGTTTCCCTTTTCTATGTCAAAGAGGAAGGCAGTCCAGGGACCCAGTCTGTAAATCTCACTTGTGATCAGCTCATCTAGGAGCAGGAGCAGAGGCTGCAAATATGACTTTACATATCGAGCTTTCTGCTGAGAGCCAGGCTCTGGTCTGTGCCTCCCAGCTCTCCTGCTGCCTGGTCATGGTAGCTGCTGTTTACTAAGTTCCTGCTCCGAGCCAGGCATTGAGCTAAAGGCTTTACATAATTTCTGCTCAACATTCACCAGTCATCAGCCATCTAGGAAGCAGGCTGCAAAGCAGACTCATTTTGCAGGTGAGCAATCTGAGGTTCAGAGAGATTA